AGCTTGTCTCATGGACATGTGACTATCGCCATGAAGAGGTGAGGCGAGGCAGGCAACAGTCGACCAACGTTTCCATTGAGGCCAAGTGAAACGGGTCGGATCTTTTTCGGATCTCATCCGTTTGAGATATTCACTAATTAGGTTTAAAACGAGCACAATTATTTTCTAAATGAGGATTGAAATCAAATATAATATGTAAATAGCAAACATTTTCTAATTCACTTAAGTCGGATTGATATATTCGTTTATCGAATGTATGAGATAGAAGAATAGATTTTTTATGTACTTTATTAGTCTCAATTCAAAAATGAATGAATTGAAATCAACAATAGATTATGACAAATATTTGATAGAAATTAGATTGGGATACCTCAGCTCCATTCAATGTGTATGTTCATCTTTGGGCACCAACTAATTTAGAGTTTAATGCCCTCCAGAAACAGAATGCAAATTATTGAACTGTACATGGGATTATAGTTCTAAAGAGGACTAGCAATCATTAAATGTTGCACTAAATAGGTAAAGATTTGGATTAAGATAATGATGGTGATATAAAACTAATGCTTTCAAGCAATCTCCAGCTATCTATGATGAAATTATGCTGGAATCCAACACAATATTCTCAGTCTTCTCCATCTGTCTTTTACATCCTTTATAAGGCATCCTATGAGCATTCTAGAGAGAGAAACTCCCACAACAACAGATGTGACACCCACAAAAGTTCTTTAAGTATCTATATAACCTGTATCTATCATTATCTTTCCATCCATTGAGTGACTAAGAGGTTGGAGATAGCTGCCCTGAAGAAAAAGTTGAAGCTGGTGGTGGAAGTTGCAAAGCTGGCAGTGGCCTCTAAGGTCATGATACTTTTGAGATACTGATTCTTTTGGTGACTTCAATGACAGCATGCATCATATAAGAGGAGCAATCCAGTTGTTCCATTTGTTGAAGAAGTCTGAGTTTTGATAAGATCTGTGCTGAAGTAACTCAATTTTACCAAGCCAAATGCTTCATACAAGTCTCAATCTAGAAGAACACCATGCTCTCTTCTCCACTTGCAGAATTGAATCAAGTTGTCTGCAGTCACGAAACATTCACCAGTTTCTGTAAGAAAATCTCAGTATTAACAAAAGTCATTTGTATGGTAATTGTTTCACTTGTTGTAGAAGAAGCAGGGATTGAGATAAAGATCTGTGATGAAGCAATCCATTTTACCAATTCAAATGCTTTATATATGTCTAAATTTAGAAGAACAACATGCTCCCTTCTGCATTTGCAGAACTGAATCAGGTTGGCCTTAGTCATGAAACATTCACCAATTCCTGTAAGAAAATCTCAATAGTAACATCAGCTATTTGTATGGTAATTGTTTCACTTGTTGCAGAAGAATTCTGGGATTGTGATAAGATCTGTGATGAAGAAACCCATTTTACCAATTCAAATGCTTTATATAATTCTAAATTTAGAAGAACACCATGCTCCCTTCTCCATTTGCAGAACTGAATCAGGTTGTCTGTAGTCATGAAACATTCACCAATTCCTGTGAGAAAACTTCAACAGTAACACCAGTCATTTGTATGGTCAAGTAAGGATTTGGATTTCTTCGAACTTCTTCATGTATGAGATAGTAATTGGTTAGACTACCACTGTAAAAGAAGGGAAAGACTAAACGCTATATGAACAATGATGGAAAGAAGAGATAACTTGTTATACTATAACCAGTTATATCTCTCTTTCTGTATTGGAGCAATCTTACTGAAATCTAAGCCTCTTTGTCAGATGTATCAAAACCTGCAAAATCCAATGGAAATGAATCATTATAGTCTGGCAAGAGAATAAGAAACAAAGTTCTTACCCTGCTTTAAAATCTCTACATAATTGAAGAATGTCATCTGAGCATCATCAGCTACCAAGATTGGTAGAGAAAGGAGAGAGCATTGCTAAAGAATGGCAATAATTGTACAGCATCTGAGAACTTCTGTGCCGAATATGTTAATAGTGGCAGGGGAGTACACATTATCCCGAAAAAACAATGTATGATACACAGACAAAAACATAAAAGCAAAAAACTATATGTAGGTTTTCTTGGCCAAAAATATACAAAAGCTTATAATATCTGCTTATTTATCTCCTTCCACCTTCCATTGGTCTTTGTGCTCGGTCAATCATACTCTATATTGCAGTTCTAAACAATTTAGCCTTTGAGCTAATGCTAACAGTCAATCTTCCAAGAGATCATTCAACAGTCACAAATTACCAATATATACTTGAATTCGAATCAAATATGAAATACAAGAGAACTAGCAGCTTGTTGTACAGAAAACCAATTTCCCGCTAGTGATACATAATCTAGTTCTTGCTTACGAGCAAATTATCATGCAACCAATTCCTCATGATGGCAAATGCATCCTCTGCAGCTTGATCATCTTCCTCCGATTCTGGTTGATGAGCAAATCCATGACCTCTCCCATGATAGATTACAACCCTTGAACTTGGAATATTCTTCTCGATCTGATGCAAGGTGTTGACAGGACAAAAGGGGTCATTATCCCCACAAATAAACAAGACTGGAACATTGATGTTGCTCCCTTTGGAGGGGTCTATGTTAGCTCCATAGAAGCAGATACCAGTGCCAAAATATGCCTGCTCATCACGAGCCAAGGCCTTAATCAAATGTCCACCACCAAAGCAGAAGCCAATTATGCCAAGCTTTTTTGATATTCCAGCTGCCATGAATTCATCGATCATCCACTTTGCACATGTGTCAATGTCTCTGGCCACCCTTTCTGGTAATTGTTCAGATAACCAATGCTCATATCTGTCAACTGTCCAGCCTTTCTTACATGGATTCCCACGAAACAAGTCAGGGACCAGAACACTGAAAGCATATTGTGCAAAAATTATTTAAAGCCATGCATTGTCAGGAATGAGAATGACATGAAGAGCAGCTAAAAAAGATGGCATTGGTACATGTTTTACAAAAATTGCTGAAGTAATTGGACCTTTGTATTTCCAACATCATGTATGAATGCTTGGCCTAGGAGAATTTGGCAAAGACTCTGAAATTCATATGCAAGGCATAAGCCATATGGCCAATGGTTGAAAAGTCTTCACCAGATATCTATTTTGATGTTGACTCATAACACAAGTGCCTTAAACTTTTGGGTTGATATTGAGAATATATGCATATAGATGCCCCTTGTTAGCTAGTCGTTTGGGCTTGGATCTCTCTCTCCCTAACAGGTGATGCCGAGCCAAGAACCAGTCACATTTGGCTACATGTGGCATAAGCTAAGGATCAGTCCCATGTGGTGGCTAATGTGGCATAAGCTAGGAAGAAGCTATGTGTAAGTCTCATATGAATAGGGTTTCACATGTACGGGAGAGACAAAACACTCATACATGAGGTGGAAGATGTTGAAAATTTTTGTGTGAGACGTAATGAAAAGACTCAGGTTAAGTTATATGTGATTGATAAGTCGGACTAATATATTGGTCTTGAGTCACAACTAAGAATTAATTTGGCATTTGCAGTGAACTTAATTTTCAAATAATGGACAAAAGAGTGAATATAGCACTGGTTTCAAGCATTGCATAAAACAGGGTAATAACAGGAAGTTGACAACCTAGTTATTAGAAAACGAGTAGCGTCCAGGTCTGATCTCATAAGTGGGACTGAACTCTATGTTTTGATAGTATGATTAATTTTGTCTGAAATATTGACGA